ATACGTGTCGGTGAATCAGAAAGTGCTCATCCGCGATTCCTCGTTCGAGTCACGCTCTCCGTCCATCGGTGGCTCGGGATCATCAGTCGATGAACCCGCGACTCCGGGAGTCTGGAACTGGAGCAGTTCGCCAATAATTCAACCGACACGGCGCGTGGTAGTACGCAGCTATTCTTCGGAACGCATCGGTCGAGAAATTCCCCTCGGAAGCAATCGATCGATCGGCCGCGTTTTTCTCCGATAACTTCTTCTTCGTGAAAGTTAGTGCGGCACGCTCTCGCGTGTCCCAGACATTGTCGTAGTCGTCGTGCGAAAACGCGCCGGCCAGTGACCCGGCAGACTCTACCGCTCGACTTTTTCGCGAGAGAGTTTCTCGAGTGTGCAAGCTGAAAAGGCCGCGCGATGGTGCGTCAGACGGCGAACGGTGAGGTGGAGACGGGCAACGTTGACGAGTCCGCTAGGTATTTCAATTATCTGAGAACCCTGGCGGATCTCACGGCCATAGCCAGCATCATGGCAGTGCAGGTAATTTGGGGATTATGTACGCCATTTGATCTAATCTCGCGATTTATCATTAGTAACTTATCTTAATGAACGTGTTAAACTCTTCCGGAAGGTTTACTCCGACGTATACCGGTTAACGACATGAATATGTTATAATTAAGACTGCCTTTCTCTTCATAGCATATTAATGACACGAATAAACATAGAATAAACATGTTTATATAATTAATAATATATAATTAATGATTAAAAGTAACGATATGACAATAATATAATTTAGAAAAGAGAAAGTTTCAAGTTAGCTTTCTAAAAATAAAAAATCGGCGGCTTCTACTGTTTGATAAGAGGCTAAGATTGAATCATTTTATTATATTTACATTGATTTCTGCAAATATTATCAATTGTTAAATGCGTATTAAAACGTGATTCATGTTCTTAGATTTCGATAGATTATGGTCGTCTTTAACAAGTAAGTTGATTAAGCAGTGATTATTTGATCAAACTAGATTTTATCGAAGAAATATTGTAAGAGAAGACGCAATATGTCAATGTGTACTCGTGATAACTAATTTTATCAAAGATCCCCCGTAGATCTTATAGCGCCATCTGCCATAGTAATTCGAACAAATAAAAGTGCTAGGATTTCGAAAGACGATCGATCGCACGAGAACCAATTCGTTTATCATTGTCACAATCGACAAACAGTTGGCGAAATAGCCGTTTAGCGGCGCATTTTCACGGTGACCTGGATTCCAAATTATCGTACAATTGTGCAAAGAACGATAGACGCATCATGTGATATCATTGTTTAATTATAGATCATGTTATCGGCCTCACGTGTAGCTACTAATTGTCAAAGCTGTCAATATCACGAATAATCCTATGGATACTCGATCGAGTGTTCTACGAAAAAAGCCTTTCCCAAAAACTCTCGAGACACTGATACCATTTCGGATAAAGACGGCGATGAATCTTGATTAATGTAATGTCGAGCGATTATTCATTGGTTCAATTCAATTAATTGCGAAGAAAGCGTAGTAGTCGCTTATTATCGCGCGATAAATTTCTATCGCGACAAAAGTACTGATTTGATTGATTACGGTTCTCAATAATAGTCGTCAAACTTTGTGCGAGAAATTGATACGTATCGACGATACGCATTGTAAACACGGCGATTGCACAATTTTTATTGATATTGAAAGATTCGCCTCTAGAGTCGCGAAATCGAAGTATTTAATTCGAAAAGATACAGCAGAAACATCTGTATGCGTTTTCACGACTATCATTGTCCAATGAACAAGCGGCGGATTATGCTATCGCTTAATTCGGGGTTCGGGATACGATAGATAAAGGTGCATTATTGCGGGGTCAAGCAATCACCGAGCTTAATTAGTGTCGACTCACGCGTTTTGTCACAATGATGAAACTGTGCAGACAGTTTATGCACGTCACACAAACAAACGGTGCGTTTGCATATCGAGACACGCTTGTCGCAATTCAATATTCTGTTCGTTCACACTTTACGCTTGTCAAATACGGCGGCTCGAGTCTCAAACGCGAATTCAATTCGATAGAACGTGTTCGAAGACGTACTCTAATGCGAAAGAATAAATCATCTTATTAATTTTTTTTAATTAGCAAAAATTTTCTATCTTCGTTTAATCTCGTGATTATACGAAGACTTAATTCTTTGCTGGCTGATTAATTAATTAGGATATTAATGTAGGTGACTAATGGTTAGAAATCTAGGATTACAGGCGAATGAGATAAGTGCGCGTAAACTTTACCTTAGACGGGATTTCAGACGAAGAAGATGAATCATGCGAAACAATGACTCGATTACCGAGAATGGTAATTATTAATAAAAAAACGATATATGTCAAGGGCTGAGGAAATGAGGTACGATGGTCTTGACCTTCTGCGACATTTCTATGAAAGTTCATTGATAATTATGGAAAAAAGGCGAATCACAAATAGACGCGGTCACACTAGTGCCGTCGCAATAGTCCGGTTAATCCACTTTGATCGCGCGGGATTTGCATTGCAGCGCTTCACATCTGCATTTAGATACTCCCGTATCTGCATTTAGATACTCTCGTAATTTTAGAAAATTACATTTTTATTTGCAATATTCTTAAATAATTTTTATTTTGCTCGTAAAATGGACTTTGCATTTATCTTTTCACATCAGTGTAATTTAATTACGTGATTTTCAATAACGTAAATTTCAATAATATTCAGGATATCGCATTAATCTTATTTTTACGTGCAAAGTAAATTTCGAATTCGGAAAGAGACTTTTGATATTATTTTTTGTCATTTATCTCGTGCGTGGTTTCTGTTCGAATCCGCATTAATGCGTGGACAAATTGTATTGTACCTATGTCTTGTAAATTACTTTACGGCGAAAGATTACTGCCGAAATATCTTGTTATAGAGTACAATGTACTACAAAATTATCGCAAGAAGATACATTCGGCAAATAGTGCTGCGCAAATTTATGACGACTTTGCCCGTTCGCGAAATCACGACGTGACTATGTATTCGAAACGAGATTGTCTCGAGCCGTTTTACGATATAACGTAGCAACATTGCTTCCTCATTAAACTAGACCTCGATTCCCGTCGAATTCGTTGCGCTTAGTTAGAAAATCCTGTTGCGCACCTGAATGGAGTGCATTACCGCGTGCGTAGCGAGAGCACGTAAGCGCGTAGCGGAACGTAAAGTTGATGCTAATTCATTATTCGCGCGCGTCACGCGAGCGCACGTTTTACTTAGTTTTCTCCGTCGACCTACTTAAGCCTTTCGACATCCTCTTTATCTTTATGGCACTGTACGCGGAGGAAGCACTTGTCAGATTTCGATTAAATGAGACGCGTCGTAATAAATGTTATACCAATATTTTACGAAAGCAAATAATTTTTCATCTTTGAGCTGCAGTAATAAGTGTTCTGTTTTCAATCCGATGAAAATAAAATGATAAAATATTACATCGATTTATAAGAAACCTTGCTATGGGAATTCGATAAAAATTAACATTTGTTAAAAAGTGCGCTAATAGGGAGTTTAAAAGTGTCACTAACGGCATGTATAAAAATTTAAAAAATGAGCATTAAATGCGAGACTGTGAATAAGAACTCATTTCGAGTCAACCCGATACGCCTCTTTTATGTTCTCGTCTTTTGCAAGGTTGTCGTAATTTCTGTTTTTTCCTGCATCATTTGGCGATTATTTTCAAAGGCTTAATTATACGGAATTACGGTACATTGACATCTGTAACTATATTGAACAAAAGCAATATTTATCGCAGAAAGCATATATTTATAAGAATATGATAATACAAGTATTATTATCTATATTTTTATCGCTCATTATACATACTTCTCATTTCGTAGATATACATATATTTATAATAAGCAGACTACAGCGCAATATGTATCATTATCCAATCGTTCCGATAAACGCAAAACGCTTGCGTCTATTTTTATTTTGAAAAAAATCAAATGTTAACGGCAAATCTTGAAATAGAACGCAAAAAAAATCAGACAACTCATTTACGGGGAAAAAATCATTCCACAGACATTCGGCATGACAATTTTTAATTTCGTAAAATTAATAACTTCCATTTTTCATCTCGAAACTCGGTTGAATTAATGAGTTCCGGACGAAACGAACCGCGAGCTGGAACACATCGTACTGCGAAAGGGCGTTTAATCAGCGCGTTACGCCGCGCGACGAAGTTATTCAATAATCCGCTCGGCAGGTCGTTACTCCAACTCGCAGGGATATATTTGCATAAAAACATATATTTGTCTATCCATTTGGCGAGTGCGCACGCGTTTGCGGCATGCCTATGTAAAGATGATACACGGCGATAGCGCGGCTCTGATAAGGGCATGCACGACCGGCATTGTTTGTCCCATCGGAAATTTGCGCCCGCGTGCGTCCGCACCGCACGTGCCTCGACAATCGTGCGTGGGGCTTGAGTATTACGCACAAATATCGTAAATATTACAGCGGAGAGAAGGCTTTTCACGCACGGCAATGAGAAAAAATTCGTCGGACGCTCTGAGAGCGGCTAGAAATCCGGGGATCTCTCTTTCCCGGTGTAATTTTTCATTTTCTTTTTTTCTATTGTTTTCGCGATTCTCGGTACCTTCTGTTAGCTTTTTCCATTATCTATCTACCCACAAGGGTCGTAAATTCCTGGAAGTATAGCTTTTTTCATCCCGCTTTGGCGTATTAGTGGGAGTAGTACGTTAATAGACATCACTCGATCTCGGATAATCCAGCTTGACGATTCTGTATAAAAAATCTTACAGATTTTTCGGATGATAAAAATATTTGATTGAGTAATGCGATTTGAGCTCAATTACGGAAACAAGTAGTTCGCGTCGCTGTAGCACGCTACCGCGAATTTATCGATTTATCGAAATATTATCTTCCCGATTGCAGTCAATTACTTTTCTAATGACCCGTTCTCTTTCTGATTACAGTTCAAGAGAATGCTGAACAAGGAGCTGTCGCATTTCTCGGAGTCGTCCAAGTCTGGGAATCAGATCTCGGAGTACATCTGCAGTACTTTTCTCGGTAAGTCGAGCGAGGCATGATGTTGAATAAAGTGAAGCAAATTAAAAAAATCGATAGAAGTTCTTTGAAAAAAAAATCACGCCAAACAAAGTGAACGGAAAGAAATGATACCGCGTTTAACGAGGTCATCGCCAGAAGTGATTTTACAGGTAATAAAATGAGCGCTCTTACGCATTAAAAGCCCTTGAAACACCATAGCCGGGTATCGCCATGACTATTTATTCTGGTCGCTCGCTTTGTCCGACGAGCGGTCGGTTGCTCTGGAGATTTTATCGTCAGATCAGAAAAACGCATTCCCTTCGAGGGCGTTTCACGGTAGATACCGTGCGTAAAAAAATACGACTTCCCGAAACTGACGTCAGCAACATAAAAAATCGCTACATCTGAATAAGCTTTAAGGAAGTAATTTCTGCCGAGGCTCGCCAGTAAAACTTTTTTACGGCATGTTGATTTCGTTACGTGGCTTCCTGGCGGGTTTCCTGCAATCGTCGCCCGTCTCCGCGAAAGTTTCTTGACACTGGCGGCAATATGACGCAAGAGAAGAAATAGGGAAGACGCACGATCGACACGTTTGTCGATCCAATCACGTAATTCTTACGCGGCGTCGGTCGAACGATAACTCTTAATGAGATATTGCGGCGTTATAACACCGGATTATCGGCCATCTGCCGTTCGACGCGAGTCTATCGGTTGATCTGATTACAAGCACTGAACGGTGATAAACAAACTGCGCCAGGTGATCTGTGATCATAGACACAATGCAGATGCATTATCGTTGCGATCTCCAATTAAGTGCAACGCACATGATGATTGTGCCGCGATAGCATTTGGCTTCGTAACTATGTAAATTAGATTTTGAGCTCTCTCGACAAACGATATTCGCTTCCTGTTGATGCCGGGCAAAATGTTGCATTATTAAATTCCGCAGAAGTGCGTTGCAATTTTTTATAATACTGAATTATATAATGGAACATTTTTATAACGTGTATTTTAGTATCGTGTTTTTTATCACGATATAATTAGAAGGTCTCTCATCCTCTTTAAGTTCAATGTTAACGTCAATCAACCGACTGCGCTTACCCACTTAGCGCTTGCTCTTTGCCTACAGACAAGCAACAGGAGCTGGATTTACCATCTCTGCGAATCGAGGATGCGGTCGCCGCTGCGGGCAGCGTTGATGCACGGGCGGCGAAAAAGAAGGATCGCGTACAAAGGGGACCCGCCGCTATGTCGCACATCAGCGGCGTGAAACGGCCGTTGACACACACCAACAGCTTCACCGGTGAACGCGTCCCGCTCCACGGGGTGGAAACGCCGCATGAGGAGGAGCTCGGCAAGGTGAGCCTTTGACCTTTAACGTTTCGCTACACGCGCGACGTACGCCCGGATTATATCGACAGCGTTCATCCCTCGCGCAACATTAACATTTGAATTCCCGAATCGCATATCGAGAATTCAAAGCGTAAATGTGATGTTGTAAAAAAAAAAAGAATAGTTAACGACTATAAAAATAAATACGCGCGTTGCACAAAAAAATATATTATCTCGAAATTATTGTCGCGGCACTTTGCTTCGTTCTCATTTCGAGTTTTTAATAAAACAAAAAAAAAAACGAGGAAGATAACGTGCGCGTTACTTGCGGACATTCAAAACACTTTGTAATCTTTTTTCAAATGTCTCGCTCGTATTCAAGTTATTTGTCATTACATACATATAATGATAGTCTCGCGCCCACGCATGATTGGCAAGAACATCTAATTATCGCAGGGCTTTCGACAGAATTTACCGGGTTGATACCCAACCATGCCGATATTAAACTGATTACGGGATTCGATAGAATCGAGATTTATTCGACCGTACATTCATTAATCGCGGCCTAACAAGAGCGCGGCACGTGTAATCCGTCATGTATTGCAATTGCGGCTGTAAAACTTTTCGAAAAACAAAACGATTTTGCATTAATAGAAACTTAATTGTTATATTTTTTGTATCACACGATTTTATACGATTGTTACTATGAATCTATTTTAATTACTGCATTTATCGATATAATTATTGTTTCGTAATTACTAAAATTTTATTTAGCTACGAGACGAAAGAAAGAATTTTAAAAAGCGCGGGGTGCGGAGTGATAATTACGCAATAATTGCAATAATTGCAATAAATCCGAAATAATTGTATTAAAGTTGTGCAATATATGATTATTCACGTACACTCATTTATTCAGATATTGATTACATATAATAACTTTTTACTCTTTCTCTCTCAGAATAAAGATGATATAACGCGCAGTTTACGAAAGCCGTACATAATCACCTGCTAACTTCCATCTAGAAAGTGGTTACTAATTTAACCGATCGGTGACGCATGGGACTCGTTACGTTGACTGCAAAATGAGGCTTCCTATTCTTCCACCGAAAAGACAACTTTCTAGTTTAAAAAATTGGATGTCCAAAACAACGAGTATAGTCATAAATTTCAGTTTAATATTTTTGAAAAAATATATTCCTACATTCTTTTTTTTTAACAAACGGTTCGCTAAATATACACTAGAAATTCCCGCTTCTAATTTTCCACGAATACTACGATTTGGCGAATTTATCGCGATAACGCTTATTGCTTTTCTCGACGGTGATCACGTTTATTGTTTCTTTTCATTCTTTGATCTACGCGCAATGTTGATGCGGAATCCCATTGCACCCAGAGAATTCCATGTTTCTGGCTTCCGTCCGCGTTGGACCAATATCTCGCTACTTCATCGCGGCTCGAATCGTCGGCGCACCACAACTTCGGTTTCGGAAAATTCCCGAACGACCTCCACGATACGTATGTGCATATATCTGCCGGCCAAATATTTGCAGTGCTCCCGATTTTACGGAAGATTAGCATGCATGATACAGCAGAATAACAAAACGAAGTAAAAGGAAAAGTGCGAGAGAGAGAAAGAGTGAGATTAGAGCGGATCAACGAGGCGGCAAGATCTTTCGGATTACGAGAGATTACAAAAGCGTGAGCTCCGGTAATTAAAATGCGCTACATCGCTAACTGTGTCGAGTCTATATTGACTGTGCGATAATCACCGAAAACTTCCATTTACGCTTCCGGATACCCGTATGTGCGATATCGCAAATATCGCATTTCGCTGGACGTTCGGTAAATCGCTCCATCGTTGCGTTATTTCAATTTCACACGGTGCTGTGTCGCTATGCGTGTGCAACGATGAGATTCGAGCGGATATCCGAGTAAATTTATGCAAAAGTATGCAAAAGATTTTAGAAGTTACGCTTTCTGGATAGGCCACCGTATTGCGCGACCAAATCGGGAAGAAGAATGAATGTTTTTAATGTTGTGACGTCATCACTCGCGGGATTGCTTAGCAGGAAAGTTTGATGAATTTTAACGAGTTGAAGTCCCAGCGCATGAATATATGACGAAAGTTCGTATTTTTCAATCCGCTTTAAGTGGACTCTAATAAAAATTTAATTAAGAAATTTATTGCTGCGATTCATATCAGCTCAGAATTTATAACTCGCTGAATATGTGCTATATATTTCGCTAAAATATTCACGTTCCGATTTTTTCTCTCGTTTTTTTTTTTTTTTTTTTTTTTTTTTTTTTTTTCCTTTTCTTTATTTGACTTTGATGTTGAACTTATCTCGCTTTTGACGGCCGGTACAAGAGGCGGCACAAGAATAAGGATAGGACTTTCAGAAAGCAGAACGTTTACTTTATGGCGTACGATTACGCCGATTACAAGGCTGGTTGTATTTTAACTGCTACAGCAAAAACATTTGGGCCGAGGTCGCGCGACTCTGATAACCTGAATAATTCAACTGATTAGCGGCGCATCCTTCGAGAATGAAACTGATTTTCGGCACTTCTACGAGAGAGTAATATATCATATTTGAACATACTGATCCAAGTGAGATTCGAAAAATATCTTTACATATAATTTCGATTATTGCACATATCGAAAAATTTATCTAGAATTTTTGTGCTAAAAATGTAAATTATATAGAAGATGCTGTAGAATAATATTTTAGAAAAATGAAATGGGGTCTAAGTATTTTCTTAGAAACCTTATCTCTAAGAAGGTAAGCATCTCTCCATTATGCAAATTAAAGTAAATTTTCTTAATGAAAAAGGAGGAAGAACAGGAATATTAAACGTCGCTATTCTGCATATTAATTGGTTTTCTCTGTAGAGAAATTGTTGCTAGACTAATGCAACGCAGACGTGTCCTTAGATGGCTACGTGATCTCCAGGTTTTCCGAGACTTCTCGAGAGATCCATTTTTATGCCCACGCAATTCTGAATCAATCAAAATGCTGCTTTGATGTTCTATGAATGCTTTATTTGGCAGTCGGATTGCTGCCCACGTGTTTATTCAAGAACGAAAATACAAGACGTTGTCGAAGTCGGTCGTGATGTTCTCGTCAAATTAAAATCGTATTTTAATGATGTTTACAAACAATTCGCATAAAAACGCAGGTTTTTTCTTATCTCACATCAGTGACTTAATGCGCTTACTTTGTTTTTCTCGAACTCGTCGTGCAAATAATTCGACTTTGTGCGTGAATAATCAGCTTTACGTGCGACCTCACGACGATAACGTAGGACCTCCACAATCTCCACATTTAAGCGCGCGGTTTTCCTTCATTTAGCTACAAGGCGCTCTCGTTATCAACGTCAGCGTCACCATATAATAATTAGATAACAACGGCGATTCCCGATATTGCTTGAAAGAGAAGCATTTAATTAGTGTATCTTATACAACGCTCCTTATTAATCACTGTGACTTATTACTTCGAAACACAATCGTTAATGTTTTATGTAATTGTTTGCGCAGTTACTGTCGGACATCGACAAATGGGGCATCGACATCTTCAGGATAGGCGAGCTCAGCAACAATCGACCCCTCACTTGCGTAGCGTACACGGCCTTCCAGAGTCGAGATCTGCTCAAATCGCTGGCGATACCGCCGAAGACTTTCGTTACCTTTATGATGACCCTAGAGGATCATTACGTGAAGGATAATCCCTTCCACAATAGCCTCCATGCAGCTGATGTGACTCAATCTACTCACACTCTGCTCAACACGCCCGCACTAGAGGTAAACATATAGCCGCTATATATTTCTGTTTTCGCATAACAGGAAGTATGGAATTTCGATAACTTATTCTTATCTGGATAATAAGGCGTCAATTAATACAAGCGGCGCTCGATATGCAAAATTGTTTTTCATTGCAATTCTTCTTTGTGTTTAAACACTTGTTACATCTAGTAACTAATTTTTTTAAGCTCTTATAAAAAGACTGTTTAATTACTTGTGTCACAGCATTATCGAGAATACATTGAACGCTCCTTGCATTTTTTTCGGAATATTGATTTCTCGCGAAAGGAAGAATCGAGGTGCGGAGAAATAATGATTTTTCTAATAATGTATGTCAATAATAATATACTTCCTGCTTTTTTGCAGTCCGTGTTCACACCTTTGGAGATCACCGCTGCATTATTCGCGGCTTCCATCCATGATGTAGATCATCCGGGACTCACGAATCAGTTCCTCATTAACTCAAGTAAGTATCGGCAGGTCACTTAACTTTTTCTTTATAATAGCATTTATATTTTGAATAACGCATTCTATTAAAAAATAATAATATGTGACGATTAATCTAATTTGTTTTTATTTTATAATGAAATGAACAGAAAAAATTAACGATCTCTCTTCGTTCAGGCTCCGAACTCGCGCTGATGTACAACGATGAGTCGGTGCTGGAGAATCATCACCTGGCGGTCGCGTTCAAGCTTCTGCAGAACGAGGGCTGCGACATTTTTGTTAATATGACGAAGAAGCAGCGGCAGACGCTACGGAAGATGGTCATCGACATGGTTCTCTCGACGGACATGTCGAAGCACATGTCGCTGCTGGCCGATCTGAAAACTATGGTGGAGACGAAGAAGGTCGCCGGGTCCGGTGTGTTGCTGCTCGACAATTACACCGATCGCATTCAGGTGCTGGAGAACCTAGTGCACTGCGCCGACCTGTCGAATCCGACGAAACCTCTAACTCTCTACCGACGATGGGTGAGCCTACTGATGGAGGAGTTCTTCCTGCAGGGTGATCGCGAACGGGAGCAGAACATGGACATCAGTCCGATGTGCGACCGGCACAGTGCCACCATCGAGAAGTCACAGGTTGGCTTCATCGATTACATCGTGCATCCACTCTGGGAAACCTGGGCGGATCTGGTGCATCCGGACGCGCAGGACATCCTGGACACCCTTGAGGAGAACCGCGACTGGTACCAATCGATGATACCGCCTTCGCCGCCGTCGGACGATCAGCAACAACTGGCGACGAATGAGCAGCAGTCGGACAGGATACACTTCCAAGTGACGTTGGAGGAGGGCGACGAGACTGGCGAGACGGTGGAGGGCGGTGACACCGGTGACGGCGGTGGCGGCGGCGAGTCGACGTTTTCAAATGAGGACGCGGGCGGTGAGACAGAGGAGAACGCCACAGAGGCTGGGATGTGACGGAGGCTCGCCGGGATTTGCAGGAAGTTCCATGAGAAGGTGCAGCAGAGCTGGTGGCGCGTGCGTCAGTGACATTCGCACTTAGCCGCATCCAGCCGCCGGTCCCTTTGTATCGACCTATGTCGCGCCGACCGGGTCACGTGAGAAGAGGCGGCCGCGATGATGGGAGCCGCCGTCTCGGTCGGGAGATAAGAGATGACGTCCTCACGACGATGGAAAACCATGGCGATATGCGAGGATGCGTCGAGATCGCTGCGCTTCGGCTGGGCCTGGCGCGAGAAGACGAGAGGGCTCGTTTCGTTATCGCTATTGAAAGTTCCGTCTTCGTGTCTCATTGAATTCTATCAACCGGGAGGGACGAATCTCTTCACAAAGTACCTGCGCAAATGAAAGCGGCAGCTGTATGTTTGCGATACCGAGTGGGTGGCAAGATGTTTTTTTTTTTCATACACACACACGCGTGTAGAAGAAGGAGGATTTTGATACGCGATGAAATGTACATCGCGCACCAATTGTCGTTTTCTTCAATGCGTACGATGGAGATACGTCGCCGTCGGAGGCTCGAGAGGGAATCTCTCTTCCAGAGCGTGCAGGATTTTTAACAACATATCAACAGCATTTCAGATAACGTGCGCCAATGTAACTGAGCATTATTTGTTTTTTCTTTTTCATTTCGCCACCTATTCCCTTTTTGACGTGGCGTGCATTTTGATTACTAACTATTGTATACATATATCAATAACCGATGTTCAAAATTACACACGCGATAATATCGTATCCAATTCGATTAGCGCACGTTATCCGAAATACACACGCCACATTGGAAAGGAGCAAGTGGCGAAATGGGGAACACAATTAAAACAGGAAGGATACTCAGTTACAGTTAGAAATTATTCATCCTTTTTGGTTCTTCAGCGATTATCCGATAGTCACCTACTTACCGGTAGAAAGAAAGATATCTGTCTTTAATCGTAAGATTTTGTCATGTTCGCTTCGTAGATGTAGAGAAGTCCGTAATCGAATCGTTGTAAGCGAAAATGAAAATCCAGAAGTAGCCGCGTGTCTATAAAGGAAATGCTAGAGCAAACACGTAGAGTATTACTCATCGCTTATATGATTTGGAAAAAAGCGAGCGGAACTCGCTTTTCTTTTTTGCCAAATCATACAGACGATGGGAGAGCACCGAGCAGCAGCAGAAAAGGGGGGAAGAGGGACAACCGAGATAAGGGGACAATTAATTTTAGTACACAACTACGTCAAGAGCTGGCCTTTTAAGTTTGTATTAAGATTAATTACCAGAGCCGAGACGCTTTCTTCTTGCGAAATATACAACATACATAAAAGAAAACCCACACACACACACACACACAAACACACTCACATACATCATACATACAAACGCACACATAATACAGACGCGATACGTACAATTACAATGCGAGCGAGGATATATGTATATCGATAGATGTTTTTAACCAAAGAGTAATATAAGTGATTGTTATTAAGTCGATTGCCGAGCGTGCTGTTCACCAATACGTTTTCCGATGACGAATATTCTAGCGACGGTGCGCACGAGTCGGTCTGGAATCGAGAGAGAGGAAAAATATCCTCATCACGGATGTCCCAGAATCGCTCAAATCTGCAAACTCGATCGGCATTCGCGGCGCAGACACTCAAAAAGAATTGAGAAAAAAAAAAAGATTTGGGATCCGCGCCGAATGCCGAACGTCTGCCATCGGTCTTCTTAACGTACAAATTTGCCGGCGTCGTGCGTGGATTCTCTCATTTGGACTGAGCTGTACAAAAAGTGTTTGAATTTCGGGGGGTGTATTGGTGGAATGGCGACGACCTGCGCGCCTGCGATAATATCGGGATTTCGAAATGGAACACGTCTCTGATGACTGATGAGCGAGTGTACTGAAGATCAGCCTAAAAACAAAATTAACATTATATTACTTATACTAACAATAAGTCGTAAGCTTGCCATCGACTGCGCGGGACAAGACGCGGAAATTAGGGCATGCGAGAGTCTGATCAGACGTGTGTAAATGCGGCGGTAGCTCGGGCTCACGTAATCATATGTTTTCCTAATCGTTAAGGGAATTACCTAATCGCATAACAGAAAAGAAAATTAAAAAAAAAACTACGGAGAAAGCAAAATCTCTATGTGTGTTGTAGACAGTGATCTAGTGAGTGTTTTGGTGCTGGCCACCAAACTTAGCGTGTAAGAAAACTCCGAGAGGTTCACGTGAATTTGCGACTATGTACATTATTAAGTCAGGGAGGAGAGAGAGTTAACTTAACGAAGTTCTTAGGGCGTAAGCAACGAGGTTATAATAATAATGATAATATTAATAATAATTAATGATAATGATCATAACATTAATCATAATATTAACATCATCCTGTTATTACTAAATATTAATGAGACATGTAACGATTTAGTAATGATAGTATGATAATGATGATGATGATAATGAGAGAAAAATAAAAATATCTGTTTGATTGCTGGACAGTTAAATGAATGTATTAATATCGTGTAATCGTCGTACGAGATATATGTGTAATAAAACATATTTATTGTCGGAAGCCCCGTCTTTTCTTTCTCCGTCCGATAAAACAAGTGTTTAAGAAATATACAGATACAATTATAAAAATATTGGATAAACATATGATACCGAAATATTCATCAAAACCTTGTCATTGAATAACAGATGCTTTATACAGGGATTTTAGCAAAATAAAGATCCAGATAATTCAATAATTCAATTCAATTGCAATTAATTTTCGCAAAGGAAAGGGATAGGTCGACATGGTGGAATAAAAACTATAGATTTGTCTTAATTATTTGTAAATATATTATTAAGTATAACATCTATAATATAATAATAATATAATAATGAAAAACCATTTAGATTAATAGGTATCATTGTAATATTTTAATCCAATAGTAAAACACTCAGTTATGTATAGATTCTTGATAGCTTTCAAGCGTGGATTTTTTTAGAGTAGTAGTACCTTCAGATCGCGCATATCACGGTGCAGAATATTTTTCCATCGACTGTTCGTCATATCTCCCCTACCATAATACATACAATAGTTTTACAATGTCGATGCCGTCTCCTCTAACTTCTTATTTTATAACTCCGCGCTATTCCCGTACGCGCTTACACGGAACAAAGCTGACATTTTCTCCGATGAAAAAAAAAAACGTTTCTCACAGGCTGCCTTTTACATCGTGAGACCAATTACTCTTAATCTATCGTCGTTATTGCGAGTACATATATTGAGATGCCTTAAGTTGTGCAGTAGCGCTTCCTCCGATCGAAACTCGAACGACACTCAACCACCGAGCCGTACGCCTCGATAAAGATAACACGTTGCGAATCGTTAACAGAAACAGGAAGTCTCGACATATCCGGATTCACAGTTCAATTAACTATCGACGCGTGCTTAATCAATCAGCAGCGCTCTGTTGCATTGTTTTTTTTTTTTTTTTACATTGTTGTTTATGCAAAATTGATCGAAATTATCAAGTAACTCGCTAAGACTAGAGACGGTAATAGTCGTTGTGTCGTGTTCTACAGATAGTGACGTGTGCGTGTGTTCAATTACAATTGTATGCGGAGGAATGAGTCTTCCTACGTTATAAACATCCAGACATTCATTATTTAACCGGTTAATATCCGCCACTTATAGTTCTGTCTCTTTCGTACGCCGGTAGATAACATTGAAATTTCTCGTGAACAGTCTTTAAATGTGTTGCACGTCCTGTCTGTTTTGCAATTCTCTTTTAAATCTTCACCACTCGCAAGTTCGAAAACGAATGGTAAAATGAAGGGAAAAGGTAGCAGCTCTCGCGACACGCGTTCTACGCGTCCGATTCGGAAGTTTGAAAGCGGGCTACTTCGATGCGAAATCGAATATTGTTACACGATGACAGAGGCAACTCAATAGCGAATGCGAGTGCAACTACGTGGACTACGTAATCACAAGAACAGAGTTTATTCTCGTCGACGCGGCTAAACGTCGGCTCCGCTGGATAACTTTACAACAATAAAAACGTAGTATATATATATATTTTTTTTTCACAATATGATTTATCTTTAAATATTTCTGTATATTTGTATAACTATGTAACCTTCGATATAAATACCCTGAAGTCTACACTCTTGCGACTATCGTAAAATTAAATTCACCTGCAGCTCGTCTCTCTTTTACCCCTCTTCTCTTTTTATACCGAATATCTTTTCGCGTCGACGTACACGACGCGAGATTACACCCGTCACTATTCGGATCCCCTTTAAGTCTACTATGTACAAGGTATCATAATTTCCCGCAGCCTTCATCCCTGGGATGCAACCTAAATGATGGCCCGCAGAACGTATGTATTTCACGCTTGCCCTGATACTGTACAATACCAACTTGTAGAGCTGGTTCGTGGAACAGGATAATACCAGCTCGCTATACTACAGGATACTAACTGACAGTGCGCGAAACGCACGTGTTGAGGATCGCGGTTGCATCCGAGGATAATGGCTGTATCTTTACATAAATAGTTAAAGCAGCCGGCACTCTGAGGTCCTCGATAACGTTCTGGCAAACATCGCTTGCAGTATGCAAAATGAAGAAATTGGCAATCGTGTACAACTGTCGACGACGGAGAGTGCAATCTCGTCCCACTAAGAATATATCAATCTTTCATATATACATGTAAAAATTGAAAAAGAATCAGCTTCCAAAGATATGGTATCATAGATAAAAAAATCAAATGCCATAGGAAAGGATCGAATCTGATCGAATAATCTGTCTTTTTTGCTTCTTCTATTTCCATATCATCGTTCCTTATATTTTGTTGATTTTATCTAATAGTGTACAATTTATAGTCAATATTGAATTGTCACGTAACTCATTGTATTTATATTTATGTATTTATTCGCATGTATCTAACTGTCCGAGTATGCATATGTTCGATTAGTTTTCCGTCGAATACCGTTCCTGTCTTGCGATCAGAGCCCTTAAAAAAATAGTCCGAATAAAAAAACATATGTATTTTATCAACATGTCAGTTTCTACTAGATCGTATCAAACGATCGCACTGTCGTCGTCCCATAATCCGTTCTTCTTTTTATACAATAGCTTTCAATACTTTAAAATGTATTTAACGAAATTTGATGCATGATCAGCTTCTCTAATCAATTAATCGTATAAAACGCAGAAAACATGTCTCTATTAAACGATAATTCTAAAAAATCTCAAAAACTCAAAAAAATTTTTTTAAATTTTAGAATTTTATTTCAATTTATCAATTTCAGATTCTTTTGGATAGTTTCAAATTATTTTTATTTTTTCGGTATGACAGTTGAACAAACATTGTTTTGCGTTATTCGAGATAAAGCGGCTGCATTTTTCGGAACGTGTAAAATATTAAAAAAAAAAAATGGAAACTGTCACGTCATTTCGGCATTAAATTTAATACATTCATCATTCGCGCTTTTGCTACGCAGCTAGTAACTTGCTAAATTTATTATTCTTTTGCAATAAACTGAATAATTCGATCCCCGAGAGCTAAATATAAATATAAACATTACTTACGAATAAATAAGTATTCTATAATTTTCCAGATAAGGCCCTTCTATATTTTATATAATCCCCCGCTTTATACTTTTATACTTTTTATGTTTCATATTTTACATAAGTATACACACATATACGTGTCATGATAACAGCGTATGCGCTAGGCATAAGCGTCTGCGGAACGCGAAGCACAGAAAACTCTTTCTTGGCGCATATTGCTACGTCAATTTTTCGCCGAGTTATAAGCATTTTAAAAATCCAGCGCGGGCGTACCGTCTATGAATGAACCCATCGCACGCCTGTGTTTGCGTACGTGTGGCTTGCGTAAGCTGTTACGTAACTATTACGGTACTACGATCAGCTGGTCAGCTGCTCGGTGGAAGTAGGTCGGGCGAGTGTCACGTGACTGCACCGTCAGCCGGCTCCGTCCTCGAGATCAGTCGAAACATAACTTTCACAGGTCGATATCGATTATCAATTTTTTCGCACAGAAAAATCGTAGCGGATTGAAATGAATTTCATTTGAAAAGTAGGACTCTAGCATTTCTGACAAGCTCAGAATCATTTGTCTCGAATAATTGATTCGCGAAGTATCGCCGATTAATTACAAAAATAAAATTAACCCTTTCGGTACGGCAACATATGCGCCTCATGGCGGTAACAAATGTTTCTCAGACAGCATATTTTTTTATATGCCCTCCGTATCGAAAGAGTTAAAAATCACGTCTGATTTTCTTCAGAAGAAATCTGAATGTTATCGTAATATCGCATGCAGTCTAATTTTCCTCTATTGCTTCTTTCTTCTCTCAATAGCGATATGTTGTATTACAATGATTTTCTGTCGCATGATTATTCGGTAATTATTATGCATCGAATAATATCAATTTCAAATTCGTCACCGATGCTATACAACATTTCCAACATTTTGGTTCATATTATCGAGAAATTATTGAGCGGATAAACATCGCTTGAGTTAAATTACTCAAACGTAAACTGAAAAGTTCAATCAAGATACCTTTGCAATTAATGTGCGTTGTAATAATTTACTTTACCACTCATTGTGCAAATTAACATTTGCAAGCTTAAGATCTTATACGTCAAAAGAAATGGCCAATTGTAATAATATTTTATGTTTACCTCAGATTGTTACCATCTCAAATCCTTTCACTGGTACGTTTTCGTTTTTCACATTACGAGACTCGCGGTAAAGATCGCGCGGCCGAGATTTCTCCCGATCGTTTCACAGAAACTTTCGATGGCGTACAGTCGGTATCGACTTCACATTTATCGCACGAGGATTAAAGTTCAATAGCGGATCAATGTAACATTTTTACAGAGAGCTTACAGGCTAAACGCTTCTTCGATAACTATCTCTTCTACGAGGTGTACAAAAAGAAAACGAGATTCTTTCGAAGCAAGGAATCCATTTTTTTTTATCCGTTAATTCTGTCTTATGATACTAACAGCGATAGTAGTTAATTATAGTAATAATCGTTCATAGTCGGTGGTTATTTTTTTTTCTCTATTTTACAGTACCTTCTTTCCGGCTTCACGGCAAAGGGCGATTCGTGCCACGAAGCTTTCAACGGAAACGCGTATAATATAAAGGTTGGACGTGGCAGTTTTCTTATTCCTCCCTAAGTAAGTACATGTCTTGTCCGTCGCGTTCAGAAGCGTCGAACGCGTCCGGCGAATGTGGCAGTGGCTGCAGAGCTACTTCTAAGTAAGTAGTATAGTTTTATCACTTCCTTTCTGTCTCTCTCTCTCTCTCTCCCTCTCGCTCTCTTTTTCTCGTTTTTTACTCCCTCTCAATCTATGAGCAACACTCATTTCGTATAATATTGGCCCCAGCACCCTTATTATTTTCTTTTATTATTATATTATCTCACGCAACAACTAATACAGGCGCAAGGAAATTGCATTATTTGTGCTAGTAGCAGATAGTTTACAAGGAGATATTCTTTTTCATTTTTGTAAATATAGAGAAGACATCAATAGAAAAATTTTATACA